GGGACTCCTACAAAGGGGACATTCCCTAAAATACGGCCAATGGGAGGTCCAGGAGGCTTTCTAAGCAAATGCCAGAATTGCCAATAAAGTCCTGTTGCCCCGCGGTAAAACGCACATTTCACCAACATTTAACCTCTAACCTTTAGCTATTTAACCTTCCCCTCACCCCCATGCCTACCTTGACCCAGTTTCTCAGTCTAAACTTCCCGTTAACCGTGTTGGAGAGGGACGTTACAACTAGAAAAAAAGTTTAGTACATACAAGACGGTTAAAGTCTCTTTCCGGAGTATTTCAAATTCAATTCAACTTCAAAAATACTGGCAGACCGGGGTGGTGGTCCCCTTATTTAAAAAAAGGGGTTCACAGGGTGTGTTCCAACTACAGGGGGATCACATTCCTTAGCCTTCCTGGTAAGGTTTACTCAGGGGTTCTGGAGAGGAGGGTCCGTCGGATTGTTGAACCTCTGATTCAGGAGGAGCAATGTGGTTTTCATCCTGGCCGTGGAACACTGGACCAGCTCTATACCCTTAAGGGGATCCTGGATGGTGCATGGGAATTTGCCCAACCAGTTTCATGTGTTTTGTGGATTTGGAGAAGGCGTTTGACTGGGGGGGGGGGGGGGGGGGGTACTCTGGGAGGATGGGGTACCAGGCCCTCTGATACGGGCTGTTAGGTCCCTGTATGACCGGTGTCAGAGCTTGGGCTGCATTGCCGGCAATAAGTGGGGCTCATTCCCAGTGAGAGTTGGACTCCGCCAAGGCTGCTTTGTGACTGATTCTGTTCATAACCTTTGTGGACAGGATTTCTATGTGCAGCCAAGGTGTTGAGGGCATCTGTTTTGGTGGCCTGAGGATCAGGTCTCTGCTTTTTGCAGATGTTTATGTTTATGTATTTAGCAGACGCTTTTGTCCAAAGAGACTTACAAATGATAATATGCAAGTTGCCCTTGAGGCTAACAACAACAACAACAACAACAAACAATTTCCAGTAAATTGTAAGTGGCAGTGAGGCAGCATGAGGAATCATGGAGAGGAGGGAACAAGGAGTGGACAGCAGAGGGGGGACGGGTGCAGGGAGGGTGCTAGTTTAGAAGATGCTCTCTGAAGAGCAGGGTCTTCAGGAGTTTCTTGAAAATTGAAAAGGAAGCCCCTGGTAGTGCTTGGTAGGTCATTCCACATTTGTTGAACGATACATGAGAAGAGTCTGGATTGTCCTGAGTGCGGTGTAGGCACTGCTAGCCGATGATCCTGTGATGACCGGAGTGGCCGGGCCGAGACGTAAGCCTTTGCAAGAGGATTCAGGTAGATGGGAGCCGTACCATCTTGGACTTTGTATGCTAGTGTTAGCAATTTGAATTTAATGCATGCAGCTAGAGGTAGCCAGTGGAGCTCAATGAACAGAGGGGTGACATGTGCTCTTTTTGGCTGATTGAAGACCAGACGCGCCTCTGCGTTCTGGACCATTTGAAGAGGTCTCACAGTACAGGCTGGAAGACCAGTTAGAAGGGCATTGCAGTAGTCAAGGTGGGAGATGACAGTCGATTGCACCAGGAGCTCGGTGGCATGTTGTGTTAGGTATGGTCTGATCTTTCGTATGTTATACAACGCAAAGCGGCATGAACGAGCAACAGAGGTAACATGATCTTTAAAGGTCAGATGTTCATCAATCACAACACCCAGATTTCGAACTGCCTTTGAAGGAGCCAGATATAGGAAGTCATTTTGGATTGAGATATTGTGCTGTATGGATGGTTTTTCTGGGATGACAAGTAGTTCAGTTTTAGAGAGGTTGAGTTGGAGATGGTGGGATTTCATCCATTTTGATATGTCAGAGAGACAGTTTGATATTCGTGCAGAGACAATGTGGTCGTCCGGTGGAAATGACAGATAGAGCTGGGGGTTGTCTGCATAGCAGTGGTAGGAGAAGCCATGTGATCGAATGATCTCACCCAGTGAGGTGGTGTATGTGGCAAAGAGAAGAGGTCCTAGTACAGAGCCCTGGGGGACTCCTGTGGCAAGATGGTGCACAGTAGAGGATTGTCCAAGCCAAGATACAATGAATGATCGTCCTGTGAGGTATGAGTCAAACCAGGCATGTGCTTTCTCTGTGATGTCCATGCTAGAGGGTGTGGACAAAAGGAAGCCATGGTTGACAGTGTCAAATGCAGCTGATAAGTCGAGCAGGATAAGCACGGAGGATTTGCCTGTCGCTCTAGCTTCTTTTAAAGATTCCGTCACTGCTAACAGAGCAGTTTCAGTGGAGTGTCCGTTTTTGAACCCAGACTGGTAAGGGTCAAGCAGACAGTTTTGTGAGAGGTATTCTGTGATCTGCTTGAAAGCCACCTTTTCAATGATTTTGGACAGAAAAGGGAGGAGAGAGATAGGTTGGTAGTTCTCCACATGATTTGGAGGAAGAGATGGGTTTTTTTAGCAGCAGTTTAACCTGAGCACGCTTGAGAGAGGTGGGAAATGAACCGGATGTCAGTGAAGCGTTGATCACATGTGTGACTGCTGCGGCTACTGTAGGAGCAATAGCTTGGAGCAGCTTAGTCGGAATGGGGTCAAGTGGGCATGTAGTAGGGCGGCTGCCCGTGAGAAGCTTGGACACACAGTTCTCAGTGAGAGGGGAAAAAGAGGAAAATGAAGCAGTAGGGCTTGAGATGGTTGGGCTAGAAGGAGTTTGTGGTAGCGAATGTTCAGGAGTGGCCAGTTGAGTAAACTGTTTGCTTATAGCTGCCACTTTGTCAGTGAAGAATGAGGCAAAGGTGTCAGCTGATAGATTGTTGGTAGGAGGTGGAGAAGGAGGGTTGAGCAGAGTTTTGAATGTCGAAAATAGTTTCTGAGAGTCAGTAGAGCTGACAATTTTGTCAGTGTAGACAGCTTTCTTTGCATCAGTGATGCTGGCAGAGAATGAGGACAGTAATTCATGAAATTTCAATTGATCACCAGGATCTTTTGTTTAGCGCCATTTCCGTTCCTCAGCTCTAAGATTGGTGCGTAGAGACCGGAGGGTGTCATTTAGCCAAGGGTGCGACTGAGAGGATCTAGCAGGGCGACGGTGGCACAGGAGTTAAGTGCTCGCCCTGTAATCTGAAGGTTGCAGGTTCGAGCCCCGCTCAGTCTGTCGCTGTCGTTGTGTCCTTGGGCAAGACACTTAACCCATGTTGCCTGCTGGTGGTGGTCGGAGGGACCGGTGGCGCCAGTGCTCGGCAGCCTCGCCTCTGTCAGTGCGCCCCAGGGCAGCTGTGGCTACATCGTAGCTCATCCCCACCAGTGTGTGAATGTGTGTGTGAATGGGTGAATGACTGATTGTGTTGTAAAGCGTCTTGGGGGGTTTCAAGAACTCTAGAAGGTGCTATATCAAATACAGGCCATTTACCATTTAGTGGCTAAAGGGCACACGTTGTTAAGACAAGAGCAGAGTGTGGAGCAGAGTGACTTGGTGGCATCATTCACTTCATAAGCAGAGAATGTGCTGGGAGATAGAAGAGTGGAGGCAACAAGAGAGGAGAAGTGGTTGGGTGCCAGATTACGGAGGTTGCGGCGGAATGAGACCATTGGGGAGGAAGCAGTGGACCTCCCTTGTGGAGTCGTGCTGAAATGGGTGAAGTAATGATCGGAAAGATGCAGCGGTGTGACGGAGATTGTGTCTATGGCACAGTTTCTGGTGAAAATGAGCTCAAGTGCTTTTCCAGCTTTGTGAGGTGGAGGACTTTGTACTAGTTTTAGATCAAATGATGACATTAGTGACAGGAAGCCTGATGAGCTGGGATTGTCCAGGTGAATATTAATGTCTCCAAGGACCATTGTGGGACAGTCGTGCTCAGGAATGGAGGAGAGCAGGGTGTCGAGGTCATCAAGGAAGTCTACGAGTTGACCTGGTTGGCGATATATGTCAACCAAAAAGATTTTTTTTGTTACAGTTACCTGGATGGCATGGCATTCAAAGGAGTTGTATTTAGTGATGGGTAGCAACTGACTGTATATCCATTTGTTGGAAATTAACATGCCCGTTCCACCACCTCGGCCAGATGCACGAGAAGTGTGGGAGAAAGAGTGGTTAATTGAGAGAGCAGATGGGGTAGCATTGTCACATGGTTTGATCCAGGTCTCAGTGAGAGCCAGTGCATCGAGTGATAGGTGGTTTGCATATGCGGTAATGAAGTCTGCTTTGTTTACAGATGATTGGCAGTTCCACAGTCCCATAGACAGGTGATGGTTTTAGTGAGCGGAGGTTTTGAAGGTTGCAAAAGCAGTTTGCTGTGTGTGACCTTCCTCTGAAGCCAGTGATCACAGGTATAGGATAATGGCACATTTTGCAAGATGTCGATGGAGCAGCGTCTGGGTCGAGTTTGTTTTGCTCTGTGGACTCGCGCAGGTAGACACGTGTGTCTTTACCCCGGAATGTCTTCACACCGGAGGGGCTGAGACAGATGATGTGTTCCTGTCAAATTTTATGATGGATATATTTTCAGGGACAGCCAAGTTCCCAAAATATGGGGTGAAATATATTTTCAGCCAAAAAGTCATGCAGTAGAGGGTTAAATCATTTATTTAGTTTCTTAAGGACGTGGATGAATGAAAAACAATTTTAATGATTATATCTGATCATAATCAATCACTCTGAGTTTTTCCTGCAGGCTGAACATGAAAAGAGTCGACACCAATCTGCTGCATTCATTTCTGATAGAAAACAGATGGTGAAACTCTAGGATTAGACTCACCCATGTTTTAAAGCAGGTACCAAAACCAGACGCCAGTCATTTTGATTTAAACAAAAACTATAATAATAACAGCAATAATAATAATAATTATTATTATTATGATGATGATAATAACAATTATAGCAATGATAATAATAATAATAATAATGATAATAATAATAATAATAATAATAATAATAACCTTTATAAAAAGAGAGATACTCATTTGACAAAAAAAGAAAAATTGGAGAATTTGTTTGTTTTTCTTCCCAGTTGGAATTCGTTATTTTTTCATCTCCTCTTGTTTATTTTCTCTCTTTTCTTCTTTGCACTCAACCTGATTTTGATTTTCATTTTATTCACAGATCATTTTTTGAAGGTGTAACTGTATCTCTTGATAACTTTTCTTTCTTTCATCTAGTTTTGTGCTCCATCACTATTTCCTTCAGTGTTATGTTTGATCCAGTTTTTATCTTTTTATTCTTGTTTTGTTTTGTTTCTGTTTCTTTTTCTTCTTGAAAGTCTTTAATCTTCTTGTTAAACTCATCAGCATCATTCTGTTCCGCCATCATTTGGATTATAAGTTTCTTCTCCAGCTCCCACAGATCTTCACATATTTGTGCTTTAAGGTCATCTAGTTTTTCCAGCTCCACTCTCATCAGCTCTGTTTGCTTTTCAGTTGTTTTTGTTGTTTCTTTTTTCTTTGCTGCAGAAACAAAAAGTCAACAAAGTGTAAGAATCTATTAATGTGAAATAAAGATTAAACCAACATAAATAACAGAAGAACTTCTTCATCATAAATAATGTAACATAAAATAATTTTAGAAGATCAGATGAAACAAGTTGAACTCACAGAGGTGTCTTTGTCTCCAGACCAGAACAGAAGCTGAAACCAGGAACAAGCAGCAGAACAGCACAGAGAAGCTGATACAAACAGAACAGCTGGACCGGACCACAAAGAAATCATCTGAAGCACAAAAAAAGAATAAATGTATTTGTCTCCATAAGTGACCTGTTGGAGACTTCATGTCCGGGTCTCCTACCTGGAACATGGACGTGGGTTTCTCTGCTCTGCTTGAGGTCCTTCTGATGGATTCTACAGGTGATGGTGTTGTTGGGGCTTTTCTGCACAGTAACTCTGCTGCTGACAGCAAGAAGACCATCAGAACCTCTGGTTGTCTCTGTAGGTCCAGCTGAGAGGACGTGTCCCTCAGCGTCCAACCAGAGCAGCTCTGGTTCTGGCCACCAGGTTCCAGAGCTACAGTCCAACATCACTCCACTGCTGCCTTCATCAAGTCCTGCTAACCTGATCTCAGGTGAGGACACCGACCCTGGTGAGATAAGAGGTGGAGGAGTTAGTCAGTGTCTGACCTGCAGCAGAGACACCTCACTTTACAGTGTCAGAGAGAAATGTTATGAAAACATAAAACTATCAATGACGATATCAGAGACCAATCAGGAGTCTAAAAGATAAAATAATTATTTTTAAGACAAATATAGAAATGTAAGAGGCTTTGTTTGAGTTTGAAGTGGACGTAATATACAAAAGTCACCAAACGTAAATATAAACCATGTATCTGTTTTCTGTCAGTGTGTGGTTTCAAGAATTATGTGCCTAAGATTACCCATCTCAATCATTTCCTTATTGTGATGTCACAATAAGGAACATTGTCATCGTCTGCGTCTCTCCTCATGTGTCTGCTTGTGTTCTCCATCCCTCAGTAAGTTCTCCTTTTGTGTCTCATAGCACCCTCATGTGTCCGTTGTCAGCGTCTCATTAATGTGTCTCTTTGTGTTCTTCATGTGTCTCCTGTTTGTAGCCCTTTAGATCATTCCTCCCAGGTCCTGTGTTCATTCAGTCATCCCCAGCCCCTCCAGGTGTTTCTTCACGTTCTGTGTCCTTGTAGCTCCAGCCTTTTTGTCTCCAAGTCCCTCCTGATTTTCTTCATGTCTATTAGTCTCCCCACATTAGTTTCTATAGGTCTTTTATCTCAGTTGTGTGTGTGTGTGTGTGTGTGTGTGTGTGTGTGTGTGTGTGTGTGTGTGTGTGTGTTTGTTTTGTTTGTTTGTGTGTGTGTGTCCTTCCCTCAGCTCGGTGTGTGTGTGTGTCCTTCCCTCAGCTCGGTGTGTGTGTGTGTGTGTGTGTGTGTGTGTGTGTGTGTGTGTGTGTGTGTGTGTTTGTTTTGTTTGTTTGTGTGTGTGTGTCCTTCCCTCAGCTCGGTGTGTGTGTGTGTGTCCTTCCCTCAGCTCGGTGTGTGTGTGTGTGTGTGTGTGTGTGTGTGTGTGTGTGTGTGTGTGTGTGTGTGTGTGTGTGTGTGTGTGTGTCCTTCCCCAGTCAGGTCTGGTGTCCTCCCCGGCTCCTTTCTGCTCCTCCTCTCAATTAATGGTTTGACCTGTGCCAGTTCCCCACACACCTGCTCCTTGTCCCCTCTCACTCCTGCCCCAGTGTATAAAACCCAGTCCTTGTCTTAGTGTTGTGTCGGTCCAGTGTGGTATTCTGTCAGTCTTCTCGTGTCTCTAATATTTGGATCTCTAGTTGGACATTTTTGGATTTTTGGCTCCCAGCCTTTGGATTTATCTTTTATTTTTTGGTTCTTCCTAAATAAAGGATTCTTCTTAATTTTCACTCCTGCCTCGTGTCATCCTGGGTATCTGCATTTTGAGTCCTAACCATCCTCCTGGCTCCTATCGTGACACACATTAGTGTAGACCCCACCACCTGTCAGCACTAGAGGAGCAGTAGCTCTATTCTGAGTTCCTCCAAAGTTGCTGAACTCCCGCTTTCAACAGCCAATCAGGGATTGTAAGGGCATGGTCAGCAACATTTTTTTGCATAAAAGTAACAGCCCCCTGAAACGGGTCATTCTGGAGGGTACTAAAAGTGTCAAAAATAAAGATGAATGTGTTTGCTTCATGTGAGAAGTGTTGCTTGGACCACAGAACCATTATTACTTATTTAAAAAAACGGTGGAATAAAAATCCGTTTAAACTTCACACTGAAAAAACCAAATAAATATCTAAATATAAAACTTGTTGAGGACAAAATTTTTCCTTTACTCACCAACAAACAGCTCAACAAAATATTCTTTTCCGTCCTTTGGAAAGTAGCATCTGTATCTTCCACCGTCAGAGAATCTGACTTCTGAGAGCTTCAGTGAAGCGTCTCCATGTTTCAGTTTAGAAGCCGACAGCGATGCTCGTTCATTTCTATGTCCATGCTCCTGGCCCTCGTGCCACACGTGCACAAATTTGTGTCTCAGGTCCAGTTTCCCCCACTCCACCGTCATCAGAGAAGCATCTTTAGGAGGCTTCAGGAGGCACGGCAGCAAGACGTCATCACCAACCATCGCTGTTATGGTCTGAGGCAGATCCTTGACCGCAGACTGACCTGCAACATAAAATCTGCTGTTTTATAACTTGAAATGAATCATTTGTCCACAGCCCTTTAAGAAAGACTGAACTAAACCTGGCTCAAGCCGGATTGGTAACATTTAAAAGATAATGGTTTGGACCGCTTCAACGTACACAACATAACAGCTAGCCTCATGTAGCATGTTGCTCCAGCAGAACTGGGCTAATGCTAAGAGTTGGTTCTAATAAAACTTACCTGTGCAGGTGTGGGTCAGGAGAAGAATCTGAAAAACCGCAGCAGTCCTAGTCTGAAGGTTTAAAGATGACTTCCCTGGCTGGTGGCCCATCCTGGAGACCGTACTCTTCAATCAGACACGTACAAAACGTTTAAAAGGTTTAAAATGAGCCACAGAATAACCAATGATGTAACCAGGAACTAATCTGCACACATTTATCATCAAATGATCTAAATGTGTTTCTCAACACAAAACCCTGACATTACCTGAATCAGCAGGTTCTTTTTGATGCCTCTTATAATAGTTTACTAAAAATAAAACCGTGTTTAAGACCTCTGCAGCAACAACAGACAAAAAACTTCATGAAAGGAAAAAGTTTCCTTGTTTCCGTGTTCCTCTCAAAGCTCAAAGTCCTCAGATAACGTAAACTTCAGTCAGAGCTGTAGGAGGTTTCTCTTTTGTTTTTCAAATGAAAATGCCAGTCTTCTTTTAAACCCTGGAAAAATAAAAAATAACAACCAGATCCCACTCACCCTTGTACGCATCACTAAGTTCAATTCATTTATTTATATAGCACCAAGTCACAGAGTCGTCTCAAGGAACTTCACACAGTAAACGTTCCAATAAAGGTCAGTTCATTAAGCCAATCAGAAAAAAGTTTCCTATGTAAGGAACCCAGCAGGTTGCATCAAGTCACTGACTAGTGTCAGAGTCTCTGCAGGAAACCTTATACTAAGCAAGCATTTAGCGACAGTGGAGAGGAAAACTCCCTTTTAACTGGAAGAAACCTCCAGAGGATCCTGGCTCAGTATAAGCAGCCATCCTCCACGACTCACTGGGGATGAAGACAGGACACACACGCACACACGCACACACACACACACACACACACACACACACACACACACACACACACACACACACACACACACAAATACGTGCATATATGGTTTATGAAGCCACTTTGACTTTTTGGTGGTTGACGAGGACACGCCTTTCCCTACATCTGGTGAACACGAAAAGTATGTCAAAAAATTTGATTTTACCCATAGAAGAAAAGTCTCACTTCAAAAAAAGAAAAACATATCAGAACAAACATACATTTCACATATGAATTTCCACAGGCTTATGAGGACTTGACTTTATGGGGACTATTAGGGTTTATGAGGTCTGTTTACAAAAATATACAATTCTGACTGGTTCATGGTTTAAGGGGACATTTAAACATTGTGAGACCAGCATACACATTTATATATAACATTCAAAATATCAAGGAATCAAAGAGGAAATAGAGGTTTTTTGGGGGAGTCAAGGCCTCAGAGGTACCAGTGGTCAATCGAGCACTTGGGGCTGTGACCATTTAACCGGGAGAAAAATGGGCATATTCCAGGATAAACTTCAGAAATCTTTATTCAGAAGAGTGCATAGGTAAAGCTAACATTTCAATTAATGTTTCTGTTCAGAAACCTCAACCTCATGCTACCTAAATCTCAGTTTTTGTTTGTCTTAGTTGTCCTATGTCCTGTCGGTGGTACATCACATGTAGGGGTGTCCTTCCACAATAGTATTTCCAACACCTGCTCCTCTGTTTGCCAATGTCTGTGACATTCACTGAGCATGTCATCTGTAGAGGTCTTATCCTTGATGGTACTTAAAGATCTTGGCTGTTTCATCTTGGATCATAGCTCTCACACTAGCTAGTCCTCTGACTCCTTCCTTACTGCTAGCATACCGTTTCAGGGTGCTGGATTTGGGGTGGAATGGTCCATGCATGGTTAGGACCTTTTGTGTCTTAAAATCTGTGGCTTGTAATTTTTCTTTTGGCCAGTTAATTATTCCTGACAGATATCTGATTACTAGCAGGGCATAGCAATTTATTTCCCAAATCTTGTTCTTGCCCTTGAGCTGATTTCTTAGGACTTGCCTTATTTGTTTTAAGTATTTGGTTGTGGCGTATTTCCTTGCAGCCTCATTGAGGTTGCCTTTTGCTTGTTGGACACCAAGGAATTTGTAGCTGTCCTCAATGTCTGATTTTGTTCCTTCTGGGAGTGAGACCCCTCCTGTATCTTTCCTTCCTTTGTTTTTTTATTTTTTTTTTATTTTTTTTTTTTTTGCATTTTTATTTTTTTTGTCCTGTCTGGCTTTGAAGCAAACAGAATTGATGTCTGAATGCTGGTAACAAGCCTTACAGATTTACTCTCAGGTGGAGCATCAAAGCGTCTGCTTTTAACGTCACACCTGATACTTAAAACTTTATTGATATTGTTTTTGAATGCTTTGTAATTCTGACCAGACATGGAGTCAGAGGTGAAAGAGAAAGGAAAAGACTGTGTGTAAAAAACATGAAGAAATAAAAACGAACAACGTGTGTTATCAGGGAAATAGCGGGTGAGCGGTGTTGATGCATGATTGCGCATGCGCCGTGAACGGTTCTGGTACTTTTTGGGTCGCAGCCGCTCGCTGCGCCACTTCAACAGTGCGATACCCTCACGAGGAAAGAGCAAAATATCAAACACGCCAGAAGTCCGGCGTGCGGGCTCACGATTGCTGATCGGTAGCTGGTCACGTGGTGTTAATCGCCTCTCGTAACCCCCTGTACACTACACGATGCTCAGCGCAAAACTCGCCCCGATCTTGTGGATTCTCGCACGACTGAAAAATCGGCTCAAAAAAGTGAAAAAGTCGCACAGTGTACGCCCGGCTTTACTAGGCAGAGAGATCCCCAACCCCCATGGACAAACATCAGGTTGCATTCCAGAGAAAGGGAGAAGAGTGTAGAGTTTACTACACACTAGAATAGCACTGTTGCTATTCAGCTGGAGATTCTGAAAATGACCAATCAGATTAACCTATGAGGCTTAGATCATGTATAAATATCCCAGATACTTATATATTGATCTAAGTTCATACACCAACCTGTTTGGTCTAATTTACATCCAAAGAATAATGTTTAATTTAAATAATTAAATTTTATAGCAAAAGTTTATTTTGAATCAGAAGCTAGGAATCTTTGCTTTTCAATAACCAGAAATATTATCCCTTTTCTGTGTTTCGTTTCAATAATGAGGCAAGTTTAAAAATGAAGACATTTTATTACTAAAAATTTTAAACTTAAAGATTTGAAACAACAATTATAAAATGACAATTCATGGATGGCAATTTAATGATGATTTTTAACAACTTTGATATTAAACTTGTTTTAAAAGACAAACCTGTGGCTGGATGGAAGCTAAATTGGAAATACGAGTTTGTGTGCGTGAATGGAATTATCAGAAGATTTCTTTCAGAGAGAGAGGAAGCGTTCTGGATGGAAATGATGTTTTGCAGCTAACTGAGTTTTTGCTTAGAGAAAACTACATCAAACACATTCTGTCGAAGTCTACCTCACCCAATCAGAATACCCCCTTTTTGGATCTAAAGTGTCCAGGTGGAGATGGTTTCCTCCAGGCACGAGGTTGGTAGAAAAACCTCTGGCACGACCAGATCGGTCCTGAGATGTCTCCTTGGGTCACTCGACTGGTGGAACTATTTGCTTCTCAAAGTCCGTAACTCTGAAGGAGTTTGTGCATCTTAACTTGACTCAGAAATCAATAACTCTGGGTAGAGTTTTTGTCAGCTGGTTACAGTTACGTTTATTCTTAGCTATTCTTGTCAGCTTGTCAGCTTGGCAGAGGGTCTGGGCGGCCATCCCGTCTCCTCAGGATGATGCTGGTTCAAGAACTGAACTGAAGCTGGTGATGGTTACAGTTTACAAAGCTCTCAGGACACTCCCACTCTCTCAGCAAGAAAGCTTGGTCATGCGTCAAAAACATGTGATGCAGTTATTGTTTATCTGGACTCTGTGTTAGATGGTGTTGGTCTTTCTTCTGTTAGACCAAGCACGGGTACGGAGAAGATGGAGTTAAACACCTTTTAAGTTGGCAGAACGAGGAGACAAATGATCAGAAGTCCATTCACTGTTTCGCCGCTCATGAGGGGGAGAGTCTCTGCAGCAAGTCCCGCGACCTGCTCTTGCCAGATGCTTCGGACAGACTCTCGCCGTTCTGCTGAAAACGGCTGATTTTTATTGAAGATTACAGGAATGTTACATACATAGTTTGCCATACACACACGTAATTCTGCCATCATCTGCACCTGCAGACGCACGTCAGCTAATAGCCTTGTTAATGAAAGACCAATTCATCCCAAGGACATGCAACCTTGAGATGATCAGGACACATCCTGCAACATCCTTTGCTAACAAAGACAGTTGTTCTTGTATTGAGGAACTGAAGGAAGGAACACTTTCACTCCCTTATGCAGCTGTTCAGCTTGAGCAGAAAAGGCACAGAGAGGTCTTTGATATTATAACAAGATTCCATGAAAAGGCATATAATAATGTATTTATGATAATATATAAGGGGCAAAAGTGAGAGATACATATTTAATCATATAAAAGAGCTTATAATAATATATGAAAGAGCTTATATGAGAGATATATATTTTCAATCCCCCTTTTGAACTCTTTTAAGAGTTCAATAAAGATATAAGAAATCAAAACAATAACACCAAATTCCATCAAAAAGAATCCAATAAGCAAAGTTTTAAAATACCAATACAAACAACCAATCAGATTACATTTACTCATCTTTCTAGCAGTAAACTAATACAAAAAACATGATCATACTTTCAACAGAACATGTTACAACATGTATGGATCGCATGCAACTCCATATGAGGGCGAAAAACCCTAATTATCATATGTTTATAGGGAAAATTCCCCCATGTCCCCCCATTTGTCATATCTCAATTTTGGGGCGAACACCTGTTGGCATAGAGTGTGCATGCCTAGGACATCAATGATCAACAAAAAATAAAACAAAACAAACAAAAAATCATAAAAATGAACTGGTGAAGGGATGGTTACATAAATCACTGAACATTCTCACACTCTAACAACATCTTCTTCATCATGAGAGTCATCACTATCATCAGAGAGTTCCCCTCCCAAATAGATGTTAGGATTGGCTAGTAACAAGGGCATCTGGATAATTGGGTCAGCAGGTGGAGGGTGTAAAATATTACCCTTGTTAAAATAAATGAGGGTGTTAAATACAACCCTTGTAGAATGTTCATAGGGTGGTTACTTCTTCCCCCTGTTGAGGACCCTTCACTGGCTCCAGGCAGCTGCAGGGGGTGATGATGTCAAGATTCTCGTCCTGCAGGATGTGGTGGCAGCTTGGCATGCTACTGTAGTCAGCTACTTCTCTTCCTGGTTTTTTTTGGATCCTTTCTCTGGTTAGGCAGATGTCAGCTGCTTCTCTTCCAGGTTAGGCTCCTCCCGTCCAGCCGGACAGCGTGTGACGTCCTCTCCGTGATCCTGTATGGCTCGGTCCACCTCGGTTTCGTCCACTTCCTTTTGGTGAATTTTAGCAGGACCCAGACGCCTGGCACCGAAGATGAAGCCTCTTCGTGTGTGTAGTTTTGGTCCAATGAAGGCTTTCTCGGCTTGTGCAGTCCTTGATCTCGGCAGATAGTTGGTAGGAAGATTCACACTCCGGCCGGACCAGAAGTTCCCCGGACCGATCGCCTAGGGATTAGAGGTTATGCACAAAAATGTCCTAGCTCTTACTGACCCTAGCCTCTGATACCTTCAACATCAGACACATACAGTTACGAACAGCAAGCGCAATTAAAGGTACAGTGACATCACGACATGGACACACAGACACACAAACACATACACATGCACATACACAGAGAGAGAGGGAGAGAGTAAGAATGTGTGTGGGAGAAAGAAATGTGTGGGATCCATTTTGCCACCAGCATCTCCACCTGTGTCACAGAGAAAAAATTGCAAAGAAATTAAAACATAAAGCAAACAACAATAATTCAATGAGTATAAATGATCAAACTAAAATATACAACCATGCATGGGTTTTATAACAGTTCCAGCAACACTGGAGATGATGCCTTGTACAATGAATTCTTAAGATGTCCTTCATCAATTAGAGGTTATAACCAAATTGTTTCAGGATCCTGAAGTTGAATTGGTCAATTTACTCAGAATAGCCCAATGGCTTTATTGATGTTTCTCAAGGCTCAGCCACGCCCATATAGATAAATAAACAAACAAACAAGACAAACACAGTCAAACACACGGTCCATACACGTCTCTGTGCCCTCACACACCAAGCAAATGTCAGACTGAAGCGAAAGTGTGAAATACTTAACCTAACGCTAAATCAGTGGAAAGAAAAAATAAGACCTAAAGCGTGTAATCAAATTAATCCAACAAAACTTCCCATAACTGCTGTTCTAAACTCACGTTGCGATGTGATCTCTCCAATTAGAAATTAGGACAATCACTTTACTATCAATTCAACCAAAAAGTTTCAGGTTGTCCCTTACCTAAACTACTTGTCTTTCTTACCTTCTTTATTTTATTTTTTTTTTTTAAGAACCTCACTTAGCACAAGAAATCCTAAGAATTAATTCACTACTTAAGGTTAATTTGTAAATAACGAAACTGCAGTTACAGGTTTGTTTGTGCATAGTATTGGTAATCAGCAGTTTTTTTCCTTATCTCCTCATCTAGAAGTGTTTCTGTGCTACTCCTCCATCTATAACACAAGTTAGTATCATCCTTAAAGCATCTGAAATTAAGCTGCATTGCTAAATCAATAACGTGATTTGTGCTAAGAAATACTCCCCTATCCTCTTCCTTTTTCCAGTGGCGCTGAATGACAGATTTTAGATCAATTTAACGTTTTATCACTATTACGTTTCATTTAATTAATTTTGCTTTTTCTCTCTTATTTTTGTCTATTTATTTATTTATGTTATTTACTTATTTATCATGCCATCCTGTGATGATAATCTTAAAGACTTTTTAGCCAATTGTCGTCAAAAAGGCCAATTAAAAATATTATGTTAAAGATTTCACAAGATAAAAATGTGAACATAATTTTTATCGAATGAGGGGTACAATTATTCAATATTTTTGTGA